GAATAAAAAAGCTATTAGAAATTCTAGTAATTCTAGAAGTGAGTGTGTCTTGTCACTGACACACTGTAGATTCCTAATAGCTGTCCAAATTTTCTATTGTTTGTCACAATTCAGTTTTTCATTGCTTTGCCAAATCAAGTGCTATTCCTTCACAGCCCCCTAAATATCTCTTCAGACACTTCAAGAGCCCCCAAAAAAGTTCAGCGGTTTTCCCCTTTTTGTTCTGGTAGAGAAAAAAGTAGAAGCTGTGGCTTTTCTCTGACCCTCTGCTAACAATGAAGGCAGAAATCTCTTCTCAATGAACTAGTAAAGCAGTTTTTTTCCCCCAAAAGAGACAGTGTGTTCTGCTTTCACTGGCCATTCCACACAATTCAGACCACACAGTCTCACCTGGAGTCTGGGGAATAGGCTGTATGTGAGCCTCTCCTGTTGCCTGTTAGCATAATGCAGCATTGGCTTTAAGCCGGTTCTCTGGAGGCTGCTGTGTGAATCAGGGCTCATGGTACAGGAATGGTTTTATTTCAATAGTTGAGCCTTTTTTTTGAGCCAATATCAGATGCATTTTATTTATCCCTCACTGGACACAGTGAAGAAGGCTTAGTTAGGATTATTATAGGGATCGGATGGATGTCCATACAGAAGTGGGCTGTCTAGTGTGGGATAGTGAGACTTTGTTTTAATGTGAATTGCTTTCACTGATTCCTGTACTGTGCTGCACTGTGCTGAAGTAGGATACAGAACTGCAGCAATTTTTGTTTCTTGTTTAAGTTTTTTTTTAGTAAAACCATTACAAGTAAGTAATAGGGTAAACTTTAAAACCTTAAAATTAAAATTAAAAGCATTGTCTTGGCAACCAGCATGAATACACTCAAATTTCATTGTGTTTTTGCTGCTTTAACGACTCAAACGACTTATTAAAAATTAGCTAAAAATCTATTTAACTTCATTGTTTTTACATATTTAAGTGGACTGAACACAAACCAATTAGGTAATCTTGATCAATTTGTGTTTGGGCAATATAAGTGAATTGTGTGAAAGCCTGCATTTTTTAAAGTGTAGGTTTTGAACTCATTCATTCATTTTCTTTTCAACTTGGTCCCTTTATTAATCTGGGGTCGCCACAGCGAGATGAATCACCAACTTATTCAGCACATGTTTTCACAGCGGATGCCCTTCCAACCGCAACCCATCTCTGGGAAACATTTATACACTCACACTTGTACATTCTGGACAATTTAGCACACCCAATTCACCTGTACCACATGTATTTGGACTTGTGACCTGAGGTTCGAACCCGTCACCTGCTTGCTGTGAGGCGATTGTGCTACCCACTGCGCCACTGTGACAACCAAGGTTTTAAACTGAAGGAATAAATTTCATAAATCTAACAATACAATAAACGACTGTCTGATGAATAGCCACATGCTCAAATCGTTACACTTTGTGTCAGCCTTTTAATTGAATAAATTTATATTTTTTGGAGCTTTGGAGGTGTTGCCGCCTTTTTGAATATATAATTTGCACTTTTTAAGTTTTGGCTGAGCACCCAGTTCAAAAGTAATGGACATGCTTTTGTACATTTTTTCATAAAACTAACAATAACAATAAATGTAAAAAAAACAACAACAATGTAAATGACAAAACAAATCAGTTACAAAAAATAAACTAAAAATAAAATGAAAATATGAAAAAGTTAATTCTAGTTAATGTTAATGCTACAGCAGCAGAATACCACACCTGGTGCCGCTCCTGTCAGCTAAGAACAAGAATCTGAGGCTACAATTTGCACAGGCTCACCAAAATTGGACAATAGAAGTTTGGAAAAACGTTGCCTGGTCTGATGAGTCTCAATTTCTGCTGCGACATTCTGATGGTAGGGTGAAGCGCAAATCATCTCAGACTAGTTTCTTGAACATGACAATAAGTTCCCTTTACTCAATTGGCCTCCACAGTTACCAGGTCTCAATCCAGTAGAGCACCTTTGGGATGTGGTGGAATAGGAGATTCGCATCATGGATGTGCAGCCGACAAATCTGCAGCAACTGCTTTTGTGATGCTGTCATGTCAATATGGACCAAAATCTCTGAGGAATATTTCCAGTACCTTGTTGAACCTATGCCACGAAGGATTAAGCCAGTACTGAAGGCAAAAGGAGGTCAAACCCGGTACTAGTAAGGTGTACCTAATAAAGTGGCCGCTAAGTGTATGTTTTATGTAAGCAACATGGACGTTATAACTGAAATACAAATGAAGTAAAGTCACAGAAATCTAAGTCGAATCAAATTAAGTTAGGAAATCAGAATCAGATTGGAGGATTTAGAAAATCTGTATCAGTACCGATCTCAAATTTTTAGGATCTCCCTTAAGCGACTGGTAGAAGACAATAATGCAAGGCTGATCTATTGCCTTTGTTTAGCTTTCTGGCTTTGATTATATAACTAAGTGTATCTTTTAGCATCTCCTTCTTTCCTTCAGAGTCAACTAAATCCCTTTGCCAAATCACTTTTTGGATTCCACTCTTGCTGCTGTCTTCAATAAAGTCCTCATCCATATAGCTTATGCGGTTTCAACACATGAGGAACTTTATTATTTATATGCTAAGGTTATTGGATAGGGTGTAGGAGAACTCGTGCCAGACGTCAACTGACTAATGTGTTAGAGCCTTTTGCTTTTTTTTTAATGGAAAACTTCACTGAATCTCTTTGCGGTGAAGAAAAAACAAAACACCTAGATGGGGTTCCAATAAAAGGTGTCTTGTGTCAGTTCGGGGGGATCCAGGATGCATTCAAGTGACCTACATAGTCTAACTTGATACACAGCCGTCCCTTCTCAACTGACAGTAATTGAGATCTCCCACCTTCACCTTGCCACATACTGTAGGTAACTAAGAACTTAATGTAAAGATGCGCATCGTTCCCATTTGCTCCCGTTCGTCCTGTGAGAGAGAATCTGCTATAGAAGCATTCAGATGCAAATAGCCGTCGTTAACAAGCTGCCGATCTTTACCGTCATTCTCTATACGGCTTTATCGATTTATTGTCCGTTGACACCACGTCACAGTATGTGCTCTCAGAGATATACAGTAACACTTGATATTCAGCGACAAGATCAAAAAGTGAAAGTTCACAAGATATCGTTTCGGCTCGGGTCTTCAGTTTCAGCGTCGCTCTTTGTCGTACGGGTGGTCTAGCTTAATGTTATTCGTCTCTCATCTGTGCATGTGGCGTCTGTCATCCAGCCTCTGTCTTAATCGGTCACCAGGGATGACCTTTTTGCCTTGCCAGACGAGAACATCAGCAGGTTTAAATGCCATCAGATTTGGGCTCCTGAAATTGTAACCTTTCTTAATGGGAACTGATGAAATCCGCCGGTAATATACAAGGAACAATATGTCTATTCACATAAATTTAGCAAGGGAAATTACTCACAGGCTTACTTGGAGACATGTCATTTAAGCCATTTTTAAAATATTCATTAATTTCATTAATTTTCTTTTCAGCTTTGTCCCTTTATTAATCAGGGGTTGCCACAGTGGAATGAACCGCCAACATATCAAGCATATGTTTTATGCAGCGGATGCCCTTCAAACCACAACCTAGCATGGAGTAACACCATACACTCTTGCATTTTCATCCACACATACACTACGACCAATTTAGCTTACCCAATTCACCTATAGCACATGTGTTTACACTATGGGGGATCCGTATGGAGACAGATAAGACTCAAAAGTAATTCACACAAAAAACACGATTTACACATGCGTAGCCAAATTCACGTGCATAAAACCAAATTCACATGCATAAAATATTTATTTATATTCACAAAAAAATTACACGTGCTCAAAATGAAAATAAATTTTCATAAAATACGTTTCACATATGCAAAACACCATTTGAAAATGTATTGGAGTGTACAAAAACTTTTGAATGTTTAAAACTCGCGAGTTCATCCTGAATGAGAATGTGCAAATCCTCTTTCACGTACGACTCCCCCTGGATACGTGTGTGTGTATTTTTGAGACTTTCCTGCCAGAGGCAGGGTAACTCGTACCTTTCAGCCAATCAGAGGAGAGCTGTAGTCAAGGACACTCACTCTGCGCTCTATTTGCGCAGACTGTTTCTCTCCAGCATGGCGATCTGAGAAAGCAGCAGTCGCAGTCACACTTTTTTTCATTTATTTATTTATTTGACCATACCCTCACTCTTTTTATCCATTATTTTGCCACAGCTCCGCTCTTCTTATTTATTGTCTTGCAGCCCCATGAGTAAACTTTTGCCTGCAGGGTAATGATGAGGATTAAGTATTATTCCGGCCATACAAGCCTTAACAGTGCCGTTGTGGTCCAGCGGTCAGCACGTTGAGTTGCCACGCTGTCGACCCGTGTTTGATCCTCTCCTGAGTTAGTGTTTTTTTTATTTTTTTATTTTTTATTGTTAAGACATACAAAACTGTAAGGTTGTTGAACATTTGAAGTTCTAAAGCAGCTGTTTTCTTGAAAAAGACGTGATAGTGTCATTAGAAACTGAATTGGAAATGACTTTATTTTAATATAGTCAGTCGTGAACTGAGGTGGGCCGGTCTAAGGCTTGAAACCCCACATTCCTCTAGGCATCTATAGGCATTGCACTTTTCTCACAGAAATGCCAATGGAAAAATGACCCAGTCTGGGCTCGAACCAGTAGTAATGCTAATTTATTTCAAATATTTAACTGTTTCATCCACATACCATTTTCTTTTAAAATATAGTCATTAACAACTGACTTCTTGCATATATAAATCTGATATATGGCAATATATGCAACTTACATATGACAAACAATTTCATATTTGGATTTTACAAATGTAAAACATGTCAAAAGTGCAACAAATACTTTGAAATATTGTAAAAAGGTCTGCTTATATATTATTATATTATAAATAATTTCTTATATGTTTTTCAACCATTGGAATTGAAAATATGTATGTTTAAATATATTAGCCATATTTTAATAGATGTGTTCATATGTGTTCACATAAACAATATTTGGACATATGCTTCATATATGTAAAACCCAAATATAAACTTGCATGTCTTAACTTTCCATTTTCCAAAAAAATGGTTCAGAGATACTTTACAAATGGCTCTTGAAAAGTAAACCGAGTCTCAGAATCCAGTCATAAAATCGTCATTTGGCATATAGTCTTGAAATACTCGTTTTCAAGGCTACTGCTTTAAACTATGACAGCAATATATATAGCCTAAGTACACAGATGATGTATTGTAGATTTTATGTAGCAGATCTGAGCTCATTTGTACTTTACTGGCCCAGTGCGCAAGCCATTAGCTGTGAAAGTAATTCAAACATAAGTCACACCTCTGGTCATTCTGATCTGAAAGGTTTACAGTAGTGTCAAAACGGTAATAAAATCACTTAAGCATAATACATTTAACTCTCGATCCATTTTTTTTAAAGTCCTCTGCAACAAAAAAGTTGGGGTTAATGCATGAAATAATAGGAGTATTGATTATAAACTGCATACATTTCTTTCTTTATCAGCTGATATTCAATATATTTCAGCCATTGATAAATATTTCATTATGCACACTCATTTCCTGTCTCCCTCTCAAACCAAGAAGCTTTCCGTTTAGTAAATCAGGCCCTAATATTGTGCAGACATGATCTGAACATAACTTTGTTCTGTATTTACTTGGTTTCTTTGACTAGGCATGGTTTTAGGTGTAACCTCACTTAGCCACAGGATTATGTTTCTAAGCCCTTTAGAGGAATAATCTGGTCACATGAAGCCTGTGATTGGTCAACTTTGACCCAATGACTTGCCTCACTGTCTTGTGAACATAGCTAGTGAGTGCTAATCTGTTGGACTGTCTCTTTTCCTTGAGAACAAACTGGATGTGCATGTACTTCTGAAATCAGACAACAATAGCTATGGCTTTTCAGTTTTCGTCGTCGTCTTCTTTTTGAAGTAAAGATGTACGCCTGAGATATTAAATCTTTGGAATACAGACTCTTTCAGACAAAGGTAAGAACCATTGGAGAGAGCACGTCTTATAGTCAGTGGCCTGTGATCTCATGATCCCATCAAATGGGGCTTAGATAGAGAATGATAGCATAGCTGAGATTATCTTTTCATATGTGATGAGATAAAAAAAGCTTCCGCTTTGAGTCGCATGTTTGTTGTTGAGCTTAAAGGGATAGTTCGCCCAAAAATGAAAATTTAGTCATCATTTACCCATCCTCACAAGTGATTCCGAATCTTTATGAGTTTCTTTCTTCTTTTGTTTCTGTTGAACATAAAAGAAGATATTTTGAAGGAAACTGGATAACTGAAACCATTGACTTCCAAAATAGGAAAAACAAATACTATGGAAGTCAATAGTTACAGGTTTTCAACATATCAAAGTATCTTCTTTTCTGTTTTGAAAAAAAAGTTGAGGGTGAATTGTTCTTTTAAATGTTGGATTGGCTTCTACCGGCATTTTGAGAGTAAAAAAAAAAAAAAAAAAAAAAAAAAAAACATATCAGGGTTCATATGGTTATTGAAAACTTGGAAAAGTCATGGAATTTTGAAATGGCATTTTCCAGTCTACATTAGAGCATTTTGTCATATGGAGCTGTGAAAAGGGGTGTGGTTAAACAATATGATTAGACATTATAAAAGTGAGCAATTGCTCCATATTTTAAATTTCTTATTTTAAAATCTCTTCTATTGGTCCAAAACAATCACCTGATGTGATTTCGCTGGTAGTAATTGACCAATCTTGAACTTTCGAATGCAGTGAAATGCGACATGTCACACGTGCTTGCGTTTCTGGTCTGCCGCGTTCACATGCCTATGAATAGAAGTCTATGGAGCGAAAAGTGCAGTGTGATCGCGGCTTTATAATGAAGTAGTTTTACCTACTATTAATAGGTTAAAAAACTAATAATATTATCTAAAATTAGTTTGACAAATATCTGTATATTGGATGGAGGTTTGTTGTTTTTACTTCTTGGTCAAAAAAATGCTCTCACATTATTAGTGCTGTGTAAGCATCATCTGTTTTACATCAATATAAAAATAAATCGAAACTATAGCATTTTTTATGATATGCTGTAATAAATTTAAACATTTCTTATGATTTACCATGTATAGACATTACATGAAACATTAGGTCAGGAAATAACTTTTTGTAGTAAAAATGAGTGTATATACCCTGACATATGCACACAAAACAATGAATACCTGTACCTCCTGATGATATATTCAGGTCTCGTAAAGCAAATTAATTAAGCTGTGCATGAAGTCGAACATGACATTGTTACCTTTCATCCATGACCTCAGCAAATTAATTTCAAAGTTGTTTCAAAGTGTGGAAAAAATGGATCAGGTAAAATAAGAGCAACAACGAGGTGACCAATAAATATAAACATCTATGAGGTCTCGTGTGAAGCAGATATCAACAACTCTATTTTATTTAATTTTATTTTTAAATAGCTTATTACCTTTTAAGAGAAAAAGTACATGCACTAAAGATAAATGAATTAATTAAATCTTAATCCAGGTGAGGAAGGTGAGGAATCCCTGACCAAAACAGAGCTACTTAAATTCATCTAATGGGATGGCTCTTTATCGGTTTAATTATTTCCCAATTGTAGCTGGCACAGTTTGATGGTTTTTAGCTTGTGATATAAGTAGCATGTGCACAAATGTCCTTCATGTAACCACAAGTCAGTGTATCGGAATGTTTTTAAATGTCCTTTTCCCACAGCTGATAAATCTAGGTGGGGGCTTGATAATGTGCCAAGTCATATTTGAGTTAGTACTGCAATAGGTGAGGAGTCACTTTCCCTGAACAGCATTTGGTCTCTGTCCAACATCAGACTGAAGCTTTGCAGCTCTGTGCAGAAACATCACAGTTTGAGCTCACAGAAGCTCCCTCTGGCCTTTACTTCAGTTGAGGCTTGCTAAAGATAGTGTGTGGAGCTTTTAAACACTGTTATGAGCTGGTATGAGGATTTGTACACATCTTCAATAAAAGAAAGGAGATTTCTAAAAGTAAACATCAAATGAATGTTATTTCGTGTAATAGATTTTTCTCTGATATAAAGATATGTGAGTATGAGATCACAAATGCCATGCTAATGCTTTAGTAGAAGAAACAGTATTAGCATTGGTATTTTGAGGATTTTTTTATGAATTAGTTGAGACATTCTAGTGAATGTGTTAATGTTTGGTAAAAAAATTGGAGTCACTTGCGAGTGTAAATTTTTTCTCTATACTTTTTAGGGTTGGGCAATTAATCGAAAAGTAACCAAAACTATAATCGATCAACTACAACCTATAACATATAAACATATAATCGATCAACTTTTTTCAGGTCAATTTTTTTTATTACTTTCCCTACCGCATGCTAACTCACTCTGTTAAGCCTTTTAGGCAGCACATTTTCCATTACATTAAAATTATTGTTTACCTTAAGATATTTGTTTTCATAAGATTTACAGGATATACATAGGATTTACAGGATATACAAGAGTTCTTCTACTTAGAAAAGATATTGCTGATTTTCTACTGTCAATATGAAAAACATTGAATATATAGTGCAAGTAAGTAATTTAATTATTTAGGATGGTTTTAGGCAGTGTGTTTCATTTCAGTTGTTAAGCGTTGATGTTTAATAAATAGTCATAGATAGACAGTTTCCTTAAATTCTTTTAAAATTGCAATCAAAATAAAATTTAAATAAAAATCCTTCACTTGTAACAAGTGAGCATATTTACTTTACAAAACGTGTCATTAAATTATGGGCAAAACATTGTTTTCATTAATTGTAATCAAGTCAAAATGTTCAATTAATCAAGATTTTGATTTTAGGCCCAATCATTCAGTCATTTATTTTCTTTCTGGCTTAGTCCCTTTATTAATTTGGGGTCGCCACAGCGGAATGAACCGCCAACTTATCCAGCAAGTTTTTACGTAGCGGATGTCCTTCCAGCTGATACCCATCACTGGGAAACATCCATACATATTCATCCACATGAGTACACTATGGACAATTTACCCAATTCACCACATGTTTTTTGGACTTGTGGGGGAAAAACTTAACACCCGGAGGAAACCCACGCCAACACAGGGAGAACATGCAAAATTACCCTGCACTAATACTTTTCACATTCTTGTAGTGTGTTTGTTTGGAGACTGGCTTATTTAGTGTAGATCAGGGTTTCTTTGGCTTGGGCTTCAATTACCTTGTTTTTGTATTTTATTTTGAATATATGGCTAAGACATGACCAATATATATATATTTATTTATTTATTTATTTTTTTTTTTATGAGGCCAGTAAAAATATTTTGGCAGAGCTAGTAAAAATCTTGACCAGACTGGGCCACTAGAGAAAATACTTAGCGTTGAGCCAAATTGCAGATTGCAGATTTATTTTAAATTGGTCCTCATCTGACATTTAACCTGCAAACTTCTATATTTTATTTACAATTTTTGTGATTTGTGAAAGATGTTTCTGAAAAGTTCCACAAAGTATACCTTTATTTAATCGAATATACAGTAATATTAAGAATATTGTTACTTTTCCATTTTTTGCATTCATTTGTTTCTGTAATGGCAAAAATCAAATACAATTTGTAATATATAATATTCATTCATTCATTTTCTTTTTGGCTTTTTTCCTTTATTTTTCTGGGGTTGCCACAGCAGAATGAACCCCCAACTTATCCAGCAAATGTTTTATGCAGCGGATACCCTTCCAGCTAATACCCATCTCTGGAAAACACCCATACACACTCATTCACACACATACACTACGGTGAAATTTAGCATACCCAATTCACCTGTACCACATGTCTTTGGACTGTGAGGGAAAACCGGAGCACCCGGAGGAAACCCACGTAAACACAGGAAGAACATGCAAACTCCACACAGAAATGCAACTGACCCAGCCGAGGCTCGAACCAGCGACCTAGCGACCTTCTTGCTGTGAGGCGACAGCACTACCTACTGCGCCACTGCCTCGCCCAATATATAATATATGTTATATACACACACCTGTATATATACCCCCCCAGAGGTATGAATAATTTCAGGCTTGACTGTGTTAAGTTATATGTTGTACAGTGAATGATGCTGATCGTTTATACTGTCATTTAATATTCACAATTTATTTAAAAAATTTAAACATTCTGTTTTATTTAATGTGCTTTTTTATGTATATAAAATCACTTTAGTAATTTTCAAAACGAGACATCTATTATTTAGTTGTTACTATTATTCAGATATTACTCAAGTACCATCCAGCCCTTATCTCTGCATCTGTTATGTTTCCTAAGATTAACACACTTTTCAGCTGAGCAGAAACGCGTGTTCTTTGAACGGCTGCTGAAGTCAGCATTGAAGTTGCCAAAGGCTACACAATACTTTCATGGATCGTGATCAACTTCTCTGTCCTGGAACAGTGGGCTCTTGGCTGCGTTTCCGTCTGCTGTGCCTGTGAAGCACCTTCATAATTCCACTATTCATTCAGCATCGCATGGATCCTTGACACCAAGTGAGAACTTAATTTTACATAATGGCCATTTAAATACTCGCTTCGAAATTGTTTTATTCCAGCATGAAGGCCAAGCGTAGAACTTTGTGACATTTAAAACGCCCTCAATTAAATGTTGAAAGCCTCACATGTGCGTAGCATTTTGTGTCTCTGTCATTTCATTTTTCTCTCCGATTTTAATGAGAGATTCTTCTGAAGAGCCCATTCGCTGATTAGAGGGCTCATTAGTAGCCGTGTGAGAAGAGGCCTGGAGCAGGAACTTGAGTACTGTGGGACAAAGAGAAGGTGGAACAGTACAGGAAGGCGTCAGTCAGTTTGATTAGGAAATGATAGTCATATTCAGCCTAATTTGATGTCACTGTTTAATGGCAGCAGATGGAAATAAATGAGAGTGTGCCTCTAGCTGTGAGAACTTGAGAATTGAAATGTGTACCGAACATGTTTGTAGGCTGAGGTGACTCGGGAATTTATACTGACAAA